TGAACCATTCAAATCGGTTGATCCGTGCGCCCGAAAACGTGAATGAAAAAATGCGGACACACAAAACACACACACATCCATTTTTTCTGAGGTATGCCAAATTGTTCAAAAACATTCAAAACGTCGATAAATGCAAAAATTTTCAATTTCGATTTTTGGATGATTACAATAACTTACCCTACGTGAAGTTAATAATAATTTGGATCCCATAGAAATGTAAACAAAATGTGTACTTATTCGTACTATCTCTATAAAATTATAATTTTATACGCATATGTCTAAAGATCATTTTTGACCGCCAAACGGCATTTTCTTTTACTTTTTTCATTTGGTCTCTGAACCGCCAGACCTGCCATCAAAAAAAAATTTCGTTTACTTCATCAATGCAAGTGGAATGTTTTTTGAATCATTCAAATCGGATTTTGCCATTTTTGGCACTTTTTGCCCCGTGTCTTCAAAACGGTCCAATTTGCCTTCCACTAATTATGATGTCTAAACTAAATGAACTATATGGCAACACAACATGTATAAAAAACTACTATTTAACTATGTTCAGTAAATTTCCTCGTAAACTCCTAATCATAGAAATATGTTTTTCTACTATTTTTCTAAAATTTGTCATCTGTACCTTTTTTCCCTATGGGAGGAGTAAGAAAGGACAGCCAGGAGGCAAAGAAACCCACTGTCTTTTTTTATATTGTAGAGATTTTGCGAATTAATAGCTACATTATTTAACAAATGTGAAATACGAATTTTATGGGAACATTTTTTACAAAATTTTATTGTATATTAACAATTGTGATCTGGTATTTTGAAAGAAGTATTTATCAGCGGATTTCATTTATCTCTTGTAAAATTACATATTTTTCAACTTAATCTACTTTATTCAGTATTTCTTGTTTACAACTTTGCCAATGTAAATTTTTAGTTGGTTCTTTTTACTCTTCCCACATATAAGTTTTTATAAAGGTTATATAAAAAAACTATTGAATCTAACTCTAAAATACCAATACATCTAATGAAACAATTGAATATTATATTCAGGTATCATAAACTAAAAGAGCTCAAAACCAAAAAAAAACTACCAAGGAAAAAAAACTATAAATATTGATACATCTCCGTTTATCTTCTGATTGCGACGTTTTAAGAACTTGCGTGATAACTAGTTACACGCCTTTTGCATTCTACTTTAAAATAGTATAATTAAAAAATAATATACTTTGCTTATTTTTTGAGATAATGATGGAGGCTTATTTTTTACCCGGGGACTTTTAATCTCTCCTGTATCTTAGTCTTCAATTAAGATGATAATAAGTTTGAAACTGAATATTTTGCGTCAGTCAAGAGATTTATATACAGATCGGTTAGAAACTTTTGTCTGAATGGAGCTTTTTCCAAGGTTTTGTCGAAAATAATGGATTAAACTGATTCGTCATTCGGTCAGTATCGATTATTAACTTCCCGTAGGGTAAGTTATAGTAATCGCAAAAAAATCGAAAATGAAAATTTTTATATATCTTTACGTTTCAAAGGTTTCTGATCATTTTTGCATACCTTAGAAAAAATGGATGTATGTGTGTGTGTGTGTGTGTGTGTATGTATGTATGTATGTATGTATGTGCGTGTGTGTATGTATGTGCGGATACAAATTTTCGTCGACGATTTCGGGAACACGGATCAACCGATTTGAATAATTCAAAAAACATTCGATTCGTATTGATAAGGAGACGTGCTGATTAGTTTTTGGCGAAGGCAGGTCTAGCCGTTCCGAAGATACGGGGCTAAAAGTACCGAAAACGGTAACTCAGTTTTTAAGAGAACGGAGCATCCGATTTGAATAATTCAAAAAACATTTCACTTGTATTGACAAGATGAAGAATCGATAAAATTTTCGTGAAGGTAGGTCTAGCGGTTTCGGAGATATAGAGGAAAAAGTAAAAAAATGAGCCATTTGGCGGTCAAAAATGATCATTAGACATATGCACATCAAATTATCAGATATTTTATAGGGATTTTAACAATAAGTATACATTTTGTTAACATTCCTATGGGTTCCGTACCAATGCTTATGCGTTAGACAGCGACGCGGCGCTTACGCGCTTTATAGTTTGTCCCTATGCAGTTAAAGCAGTACGATTGCTTTGAAAAAAGTTCAGATCTTTCACAATATGTCAAAATAAAGAAAAAAAAATTTTTTTTCAAAAAAAAAAAAAATTTTTTTTTTTTTTTTTTTAAATTTTCAAAAAAAACTAATTCTTTGTCCAATTTATAGTTTCTCAAAAATCTTATTTTTTCAAAGTATTTTTTTTTCAAAAATGTTAATCGTTTTTAAAAAAAATAATAATTTTTGGTACGGGAAGTTCCAGCAATTTGCCTTAAGGCACGATGCCTTAATTACCTTAAGACAGAATTCCACTTACAGCTAGTTATTAATCTGAATTACCGAATTTCTACTCATCCTTATCTACGGCATATGCTCGCGCGCGTTATGTACGGAGCTATGGACGAGGAGTTCTTTCAACACGGCGGATGAAAGATGCCGCGATAAACAAAAACCCGAAGCTTTGTGGTTGTTTTGCGAGACGGCGACATCAAAGGGAACGGTCGCGGCGCACACACACGATCATATCATCCGTACACAGGCACAGCGCGGCCGCTGAAAGTACACGTACTTGCGGGAGCAAATTAACATTATATTATCCATTATCCCTCGTACGAATACGCACATACACACACTATTCGATTATAAAAGTCAAGCCGAAAGAATACAACATGCAACGCTAATCTAGAATCATTTATGGGACGATTGGGACGTACACTGATTGTGAGCATTCTGCTCTCTCTATTACATTTTATTTAAATATTCAAATACTGAGCTTTATTTATAAAGTTGTTTGATCTTCAAAACATAATATATATTTGATAAAAATTGTTCATATGAAGGCATTATTTTTACACAGCCCTTGGTCCTAAAAACTAAACTCGACCAAAATCATATCTAAACTCTTCAGAGTGCATAAGTTTTAATCTTAATTAGAGTTTAATTTTTTTGACTTGCATTTTAATATAACGTTATATTATTTATTTATCGTCACGGTCTGTAATATGAACTCCAATGTATATTACATTGTTGGAACCACCGATGACACCAAAATATTCTGAATCCGCTATCACCAAATAATATATAAAACGGGGATCAGTACAGGCAAAACCTTTGGCATCATTATTTATTTCATCATTATTTGTACACTTTACACAACTGACTTAAAACTGAACTGAAACTGAATTAAATACTTAGTTGAACTAAAACTCAATTACTAACTCTGAATTATCGCGACTACCTCTAATGCGTCATTGCAAGGCGTCATCAATAACAAATAATTTGTTATGAATTTGTTTACTGTTGAATTATAAGGATTTCTAAAACGACGGAGAGTAAGGAACGTTATCGCTGTACACGTGCAACAACCAAGGATAAGGTTAAACTACAATATTGTGGGAGTGAATAATCGAGTATATTACGTAGTTTATATATTGATCATTATGATTAATAATAATAATAATAATAATTACGAACAAGGCACGTATTTGTAATAGCATATACAATGGCACCCTGCATGCAAGTTTAATTTGTTCCGTAACCACGCTCGTATGTTGAATCGCTCGTATCTCGAAGTAATTTTTATCACATAAATATATTGAAATGCAATTAATTCATTTCACCACTGTAGTTTTTGTTAAGATTTTTGTATATTAAAAATAAATTCACTATTTATTAATTTAATTATTGTTTTTCTTGACCATTCGATAGTACGGAAACGAGTATGACATGTTACGTTGAACATGCTCGAACTGTTGCAACTTTTAAAGGTTGATTTTTATCCACAAATATTTAGAGCACAAAAGCTGCTTATAAATTATTGTAAAGACCCTTAGCTGAAGTTATACCCTTTATCAACTCCAATATATGCATATCTGTTCTATAAGTGTTCATACTCGCTATCCTCGTATTTTTCAATAAATTTAAGCTTAAATTCAAGATGGCCCTCTTCTTTGGACTCGTGGTTATAAATGTAAATAATATTTTGTAAATGTTATGTTAAAATTGCAAACGTTAAAATAATCCTCGATATATTCGCGTGGAAAAATCGTTACTGCACAATTAACATTCATATATTTAATTGAAATGACTAGCTATGAAATAATATATAACTATCATAAAACAGGTAAAATATTTCTATGGTAGAAAAATCATTGTTACAACTGATGAAATTTTTCATACTATCATTTAGTCGTTAACATTTTTGAGAAACTGGTATTGTATTTCTTATGTTGTAAATGTTCATTTGTTCGATTTCGTTATTCAAGACTGTATGTTGGCTTGCATAATTCCAAAATATGCACATAATTCTTCTTCTCGCAATTTCTATTTCGTCCATTCTGTTTTCGCTGTTTCGTGTAATGATATATTCAAAATCTAAAACCATATTATAATATAAAAATATTAACAGGTATAAATCGATTTGTTAAAAATGCGACAGGCGGTTGTAATTGTGATGCATTTAAATTCGCAAATCGTTCTCATGCAATATTCAAAAACATTGTAGATTTTACATCATATTTTTTACAGCTTTGCTATATCTATTCAAAATAGGTGTAATTTGACTCAATTCTGCGATATTTTTACTTTTTCTTGAATTTTTAAATTTATTAATTGTGTAATTAATAAATTGTGCTGGTGAAATATATTAAGTCAAGGATCTGTTCTTCATCTTATAATTGTAGATGAATGAATTATCATTTTCTATTTTAAGAAATTTAATTACAATATCTTAAATTAGTATTGAATGAGAAAAAATTGTTGAGAAGTATAACTTCAGTAAACGGTTTTTAGAAATACATTAATTTCAATTAAACTAAATGAAAAAAAAATATTGTAACATATTTATATATTTTGTCTTTACAATATATTATTTAATATAATTAACAAAGCATATTTTCCAATCTTTTGAATATTTTTATGTACATCAATAAATACTTATAATTATCACGTGGGAGAAGCGAAGCATGTTAGTTGCAATGCCATCCTAGAACGAATGGTCTTCAACAATTGCTTAACAAATCTGTAAAGAAATATCTTTATTTTCTTAAAATTAAATTTTGAATTATCTCATTATATTAAATAAAAAGCATTTACTACTTACTGTAAATTTTTTGAACTTAATTTTGGTATGGCATCCATGGCTTCATTGAAGAATGATCTGAAAACAAATTGCTCCAATTTGATAACATTGAATCATTTACTTGATGGAAATAAAACACGAACCAATATAAACAATAACAATGTTGGGTTTAAATTTCACATGTGATTATATGACAAAGCTTAAATTATGGGTTCGTTCCATCCAAGCCCAAATTGACGAAGACTGATCAAAACTGACGCGCATGTACATGACTCAGTATTCATCAGTTTCGGAAAGTTTGAGCTCGAATGGAACAAACCCTGAATCATCTATTCAAACAAATACAAAGCTTACTCTGATTGTGGCGTGCTGAAAGTTTGCAGTGCGTCCCTTAGCGCAGTAAGATCAAGGGTTGCCTGAATTGTACCAGGTTCATTAAATTCACTCACACAGCTCATAAGACGCGCTAATTCCTCACCGACAGTACCAACTATTTGAGACAGTACTTCTCCCACAAGCCATGGACATATTCGATGAACCTATGAGATGAAAAATGTGATATTTAATATAATATTAATTTCAATTAAAGCAAAAGAATAAAAGAGGCTACTAAGACATTCATATATCTTGTCTTCACAATATATAATTTCATACAATTAAAGCTTATTTTCCAATTCTATAAATTTCTCAGAAAATACACATATATATATATATATATATATATATATATATATATATATATATTAGGGTGGTCCTTAAAATGGTCATTTTCGAATTTCCTTGCTCCCAGGGGCTCAAATGGTTCCAAATAGATAAAAAACAATTCTCTGAAAGTTTTAGCTCTTAATATTAACGTTTAGATAGAGCGCAATTCAATCAAAGTTATATAAATATAATATATCCAATATATATAAATTAAATTTTCACTATACCTCAGCATGCACCGCCAAGAGATTCCCAATGCACTCTTGAGCATATGGACTTAACCCAGTAGGTGTAACGGCTCTGTCCCAGTCAAATTTTCCAAGATACATTGATGGTTCTAAAGTACCCACCAAAGGGTCACTCCTATGTTCTGTGTATGTGTCTAACAAAGAGCCTCTAAGTGACTGTAGGGATCCCCGTAATGGGTCTAGAGAGAGCGTTGGGTATCCATTTCTATTAAATTATATATAATAATATTTTATGAAAAATATAAAATAAGTTTAATGTCCATAGAAAATAGAACATCAAACAAACACATGCTTGCATACATGGAAAACTTATCAGCAAGTCGAGGTAGCACTACATTGGTAACATGCCGGCAATTTGCAATCGTTGCCAATAATCTGAGTTCCCAAGGAGCTGTATTTCCACTCCAAGAATGATTTTCATCATTCCACGGTGTTGCCATAGGTCCCATCAATTGTGAAACTCCAGGTGATAACTCATCTACGTCCTGAATAAAATTTTCAACTTGCCAATTAAAAAATTATAAATATTTTCAAACACTTAAGAAAATGCAATAAAAAAAAAAATATATATATTAATTAAATACGTCCTGAATAAAATTTTCAACTTGTCAATTCAAAAATTATAAATATTTTCAAGCACTTAAGAAAATGCAATGAAAAAAAAGATAATATATTAATTAAATACCTCATCTGCTCTACTAAATGCCAATTCTTCCAAAACTCCGTTAAAAGCTAACAACATATTTTGAGCTTGGCTCATAATTTCTTTTTGTGCAGCGCCTTCTAATGGATTTTCCTTAATTTCCGGTTTAAGTGCTACTTGACCTGCCTCCAAGGCTTCTGTCACAATTTTTTCAAGCTCTGCACTCTAAAATTAAAAAAAAAATATATATATATGTATATATAAATTGATATAAAAAAAGATATAATAAGTAATTATTGAAATGTTCTCTGGTATTACTAATGCTGTTCCTCCTCCATGTATTCCATTGTGATCAATCTGCCAAGTCTCTTTAACAGGAAGGGCGTTAACTTGATCTGTAGCTTGTTTGAACACATTTACTATAAAATTTACCCTGAAATATAGCCACAAGATTAAAAAAAATCTTTAACAAATCAATATGAGCATATATTCAAATTACCGAAGATCTAAAATAAGTTTGCAAACTATTTCTAAAGCTTCAGAAGGCAAATCCAATGCTACTAAAGTTGCATATGCAGCTCTAACGTAATGTAAACAATGTGATAACCATGGCCCAAGTTGTTGGTTTGCATGTTTTGAAGACATATTCGGAATGAGAGCTTTTCTAAGGGCACTAGTGAATTTTTCAATGGAGCTTAATATCATTTTCTGAGAAAAACATATACTTTATTCATATATTAGTTACAATTATATACCCCAAAGATTAACTTTTGTAAGTGAACCCTGAATGTGTCGTGCCTTCTCCACGAATTTACCATTACTATTCAAAAAAATTCAATTACAATAAGTTTATCTTTGTAGTACATATTCATTTTTTTTAAATATTTACTTTGAATGTTGCTGGTTTGGTTGTATCCGGAGAGACTTGTAATTCACCTTTAAAATAAGCTTGTCCCAAACGCCATAAATCTGGTAATTGTCCTGCAGCACATTCTGTTAAATCTTCACAAAATAACACTTTAGGCGGAACTGATTGAGCTGGTGTACTGCGAGGTGATTTTGTCTTCGTATCTATAATGGTATCATATACTAATGATAGAATTCATGTATGTTGGGAAAAAATGCACATTTTCCAATCATCATAGAAAACCAAAGAAAAAACATTATTTACAAATTCGATGATATTAAATTTATAATTTCGATACAATAATGTAATCACCTGCTTCACTAGCAAGATGTTCTTCACAGCATTTATCTAAGCAATGATCCAAATAAATTGATCTACTATTTAGTGCTTCCCAAGCAGGATCTCCTCCACTTTCTAGATGCACTAAAGCCCTATTTAAGTAAATAAATTTTAGAAAAGTACCAAAAGATTAGAGTTCATCAAGAGCGATAATTGTTATGAAAACTTAGTTAATTATGCCAGCCATAATTTTATTTATCTTTTGACTATTTACCTGATTAATTTTTTTTGATGTTCTATTGTGCTAGGCATTTCTTTTAATTTTTCTCTTAATTCTCCTCTAATAGTTTCTACACATTTATCAACTTCCTCCATCACTTGTTTAAAAATCTAACAAATATATAAAATAAACATTACTTTTTGCCAATTGATATACCTATTTAAAAAATTGTTTCACTCACAGGCACTTCTGTTTTACCAAAAAGGTTTCTTGCGCGAGCATAATCATTAACCAGCATATCATAATCACCTCGTGCAGCATATTTTTGTAATTCACAAGGCAAAAGAAAAAGCATTCTATGCCGATTTAATGCACCTAAGGCATTCCTGGTAGCATCAGCCTTTTCTCTTCTGTTTAATACTTCATTGAAAATTGACTCTGCTTCCACAATTGACTCTACAAAAAATACAAATTGTAAGAAAAAGTAATTTCTTGCTCTTGTAACTCCAAAAATTTAGAATGATTCAGGTTTAAAACTATTAAAAAATAATTTCTAATGAAATTTTAATGGCTTATTTTCTAAAGCTTTATTTACTTTGTATGGCTTTCTGTAGGGGACCTGTAGGATCATTTCCATATTTCAAAACATCTTCATCAAATTTTATTCTTAAGGCTTCTAGAGTATCTAACTGCTCTAATACAGAGCCTGCATTAGCTTTAAGAAAAGACAGTTGTCCTTCTTTTTGAGCTTCTACTTTTCTTTTCAAAAATGCTAATCCTGCTTTTAAATCTTCAAATGAAGTATTCTGATGATTTTCTAATAAAAACCAAGCTGCACTAAACTGCTCTGAAGACAAATCTCCACAACTGAAATTCAAGAAAACAAGAAATTTTTATATAAATATATGATAATAATTTAATAATATATATTCATAAGTATCTATGTAACAATGTTCATTACCTATCGGGAAATAATTCTCTAAGATCATCTTCTGGAAATTTATTATCAGAACCTTCTGTACTGAGACCTAATGGATCCTCTTGACTATATCCTGGAGGTGCTAATGACCGTCTACCCCAAGCTAAACTATGTAATGGGCTTTCTTCAACCCAGACAGCACTTTCTTTCATAGGGCCAATAGTTTCATGATAACCTACATAATATTATCATATGAAAATTTAGTTAATAACTTCACTATGTATTGTTATAGAGAAAATTAAAATAATATAATATTATTTTTATTCTATAGAACTATGTAAACAATTTCATTGTTTAATAATTACATTTTATTATATAAACTTTTACCTTCAAATATTTTTTTTGATACTATAAAAAATGGCATTATTTAACTTGCTATATTTATTTTACTATATCAGCTGAGCAAAGTCGTTTCTCGTTTCAAATCACAATAATCATTTTTTCATTTAACTTTTCACCTCTAAATTGGACAGTGGATGTTCCAACGCCCCCAGAAGCCGTAGTAACTGTTATGTCTCCACGACCTTTCCCAGGACCAGATCTGGCTATAATCTTGTTGGGTGATTTCCATTCGGCCGATAATAAACAATCGCACCCACATATAGTTAATCCTTCAAGTGATAAATGATTAATACACAAAATTAAATTTCTATAGGTTATGTTAGTAACCGATATTAACCAATTAAATCCGCGGCTCTTGTCCCTAAATGTTCGCCCCTGATTGTCACCCTGGTCCCTGGAGGGCCTTCCTTTGGTGATAATCCTGTCACCACAGGTTGGGGGGCCATGGTAGATTTAATAACAATTTAATAACAAAACGTCAATGTCAAAACTAATGTTTACTGTAATGTCACCCAAAAAATGTCACATGGTCAGGTTCAGAAACTTTATGAAAGAATAAAATTTTAATTAGTTGGCAAGCCCGTTAAACTATCACTTGATGCGATTAGAGCGTTCATGTGGACTAAATGGTAAAGCTAACTTCTTCCGGAAATTTACACATCAACAGTTAATTTGTTTTTGCTAATACATTTTATAAGATCATTGTTTGTATATTCTCCTGTATATTCTCTTTCCTTATCGAAGTGTACATTTATAATAAATATGCTGTGTAATAAACTATACACTTAAAATAGAACTAGGAAGCAGATTGTTCATAAAGAGAAATTATTTATTATTTTACTGAAATTTATTAAAGTTTGCGACTAGAAAAGTTACGTGTTTTAATATATCCAATTAAAATCAACTTCATGTGACCATGGATGTAACATGTAATAATATTATAAAAATATGTTTGTAAATCAAAATTAGTTTCTTGCCATTGATAAATAAACATAAATGGTATAAATACAATAAATAAACACAAAATTGGTTTCTTGCATCCTAACGATAACACTTTATTCTAAATAAATTCTATCCTAAATTTAAACAACAAGAAAACATTTATATGTTTAATATTATTTGTTTATTATAGAATATTTCTTATTCATTGTATTTCATTCAATTGAAAATTTTATATATGTGTTTTTCACTGAACGGTAAATAAAAATTAAATTTCGTATGCATGACAAGTTATGACTTCAGCAAATTAAATAATATTTTATAGTTTAAACCTGTTTATTCATATAGACTTACATAAGAGATTCTTATATTAGATAAATGTAACAAAGAAATTTTCCAACTTATAAGGAATAAATATTAACATTAAGAACTTAATATTTAATATGATTTGCAATATATTGCACATTACAGAATACAGTCATATTCTTATGGATTTAATTGCTACATTTGGCCAAATCTCATATTAATCATTTATAACATTGTATTTCCTTGTAACATAAAATAAAATTAAATTATACTTCATATAAAAATATTAAACAGTACATATCTTATAGTAATTTTTATCCAAAAAGTGTTTTCATAAAAATTTTATAAACAATATGAAAATAATATAGTAAATTCATTGTGAGTTTTTGTAACTGTTACTTATTTCATATTAATATTTGTATTAATAAATTGAGAACTGTCAATTTTATAAATTTATGTCGTAAAGATTTTTATTTGTGAAATAGAAAATCATTCATAGCATATTTCCAAGTCCATTGTCGTGCCAGTTGATCAAATTTAGGTCTGTCTTCTTGGTACATTTTGCCGAGTAATGGCTCCATACAGACCTGTAGAATTAATTTATAAACATTGACCATACAAATTATGATGCAATTGAAAATCATGTGAGAATAATAATATAATAAAATTGTTGTGATTACAAGAACTTGTTACTACACATTGAAAAGTACTTGTACTAGTTGAAAATTGTTTATGCAATAATTACTAACCTCAGTATATGGATCTGTGAGTAAACTTTGAATTGATAATAAGACTTTTGATATAGTTAGTGCAAGTGACCAATTATGTTCTATGGCATCTATTCCTACATCTCCATGCCTTGATATATTTGGATGGATAATTTTTGTTAAAAAACGAACTATTGGTGGATCAATGGGATATCTGAAATTGTTTTGTAAAATCTTAATGCTTTGAGAGATGAAATAATTTTAAAGTTGACTAGATACAACTTACGTCAAAGGCATTTGTAAATACAAAAAAAACATTCCTCCTTCATAAGGACTGTCTTCGGGCCCAGATATTACAGCTTGCCAATGACAGCATTGTGCATCCAATGGTACAGCCTGTAAAATAATAAATTCATATTTTAAAGGCATTGTAGGACAGCATATTTATTAAAAGTTTACACTAATTATTTGTATATAAATTTATAATATAATAGCTGTAGAAACATGAGCTGTAGAAGCACTAATTCTATAATATTGAATATTATAGAATTTAACCATTAGTTCATTTACTTTAATTCCTTCAGGAGCATCACTCTTTATGGCATTTAATTCATTTTTAAGCCTTCTTTGTCTCCAAGCACTTTGCTCCCCAATCGGTGTAGATTTGTGAGACATTTGTGTCAGACACATTCGACAGAAGCATGAATCCATCAAAGCAGTATATGTCTGAAAATATATGAAAGTTCATTTATTAAGTAAAAACCATATTTACAAAAAAAGGAGTTCAAAATTGATGATTTTATGCAATAGCATCACTAGGTTTACTCGATTCTTCATGCACATGCTACATGCGGACAAAATTACCTTAAACCAATCTTTTTGACGATTTTTCGGAAATAATGGCCACCTGGCGTTTGTAAACTTTTGCCATGTTTCCATGGATATATGTGTTTTTAATAGATGATTCCAATAAGTGCACACAGATGCAGCACTGCATAAGGATAAATCATCCAAATAACTGAATATAGCTAGTAGAACTATATGAAACAAATTAAATCAAGTTGAAACATTCTATTAATTACATTAAGTAAAAGCTAACAAACCTTCTGGTGGCAAGTTTTTAACTATCATGCCACTTTTTTCATCGGGTACTCTTGGATTTGAAAGCAGCTGTATTTGCTGAGATAGTGTTGGAACTGTCATTACAGGTACAAGATCTTTTGGTGGTTCGGGTATTCTAAAATATTTAATTTAGACAAATATAAATAATAAATAAATAAATAAATAAACATATATATATATATATATATATATATTAGGGTGGTTCTTAACATGGATGTTTTCGAATTTCCTTGCTCCCAGGGGCTCAAATGCTTTCAAATTGATAAAAAAAAATCTGTGGAAGTTTTTGCCCTTAATATTAACTTTAAGATAGTCCGCTCTTCAACCTAAATTTCTATGGAAATAACATGGGATTTCTCTCATAACTTAGCAACAAGTAAATCAATATTTTGGGAATAACATTGTATTTGGTTATTTTGATCATAAATAAAAAATTTACAATAACAATTTGACATATTTCATAAAATAAGTATTCACTTATGAAGAAGAACCAACCCACTTTAGTTGGAGTCCGGACTTTCAGAGAAAAGCAAGAAAATTCAAAAACATCCATATTAAGAACCACCCTAATATATATATATATATATATATATATATATATATATATATATATATATAAACATATAAAATTTAAATTATTTGTTCGACTTCGAAACATATTTTTGAAATGTTTAATTGCAAGCAAATAGTTAAAATAAAAAGCAATAAATAATTTAACTATTTATTATGTATGTTTCAACACTGCATGTGTGTCATCATTCAGCAAGTTAAGAAATTCAAACTAGGCAAACTACACAAATTTAAACAATGTTTAATGAAAATAATAAACTAAATGTTAAATAATAGAATTATGTATATATATATATATATATATATATATATATATATATATATATAGTTAGAAGATAACTTAAATTTACACATACTCATATTCTGCTTCTGCATCCGGATTAATTTGATCTCCTAATGCATTGTCCACATCATCTGGATTCCAACCAACAATGTTCATATATTCAGGTAATGCTTCTCGAGTTCGCCTCATTCTGTGATCAATAGCCAAATCATTAGGTTCATCATTACCTGAATCCTCATCATCTGTCTTTTCACTTATTATTTCTATTCGTCTATTTTCTAAGTCGGGAAATAGGAATGCATGGCAAGTGCCACAAACTGGATCCTCAAAGCAAGGTCCATAGTAGCCATTGCATATATAACATGTTTGGTCCTTGAAATACATAAACAAAAAAATTAGTAATTAAAAAGTATTTGTATAAAACAACAATGCAAGTAAATACTATAATACTAAAAGAAAACAAAAATAGAATCAATGTAATATATATATATATATATATATATATATATATATCTTCGAACTTAATTCTCGATAGGCAACAACTGCATTATGAATTTTTAAGTATTTTCATATCAAGTGTTTTATACTCTAATAGTATAACATATTAAACATTTATAAATACTTGTTTGGAATTTTTTAAAGTAAACTCCATACACTCATGATTATTTATTTTACAAAGCAATTTGATTAGTATAGTTTTTTCACATAGTTTTCCCCACAAAAAAATCAATACGGATCAATATGTTGCTTTATTTTAAAAATCTTTAACGAGTATTCTTATATGAATAAGGCATTTATATGTATTACGATATGTCGAAAAAATAAAGGATGATTTAAAAGTTTGAAAATCACCCATTAATAACAAATATAAAATAATATAGTTCTCTGTCACATAATTCTGCAAAACATTGTGTAATATTAAATTAAAAATCAAAGTAGTTTTATGTATTAAAACAATCAAAATTTAAATTTTCACGAAAAGATTCTTCGATATCTCACTTTATCCTTCCAGGGCACATCAACTAAATCTTCATCCCATCTTTCTTCACTCTCAATGCTATCACAGTCGCTCATAATTAAAGTTAAACGCTGATTTTAATATTAAAACATATGCCTTAAGTAAAAATATTCATAATAATTAATTAGCGCACTAATTAAAATGCCAGCTGAATTGAAATTTATAAAGTTCACATAGCTTGCATATTGGAAATGTTGAAGAAATTATTAACACTTCACTTTGACACCAAGTTCCGAAATTTTACACATCACAATTTAGAAGAATCGTTTCAATTAATTATAGTAGGACATTTAATAAAATTATAGGGCTAAAATCTGAAGAAGTAAGAAGTGATTTATTTCAGTTATGTCTGACATCGATGTTTGACGCCGATTACAAGGAGGCTGGTGTTAAAGTTACTCAAAATTGATGACTGCAGTTTACTTGTTTATTTAAGATACTTTCAATTTTCGTATGACACATAGTAAATATTGAATGCACGGTAATAGCGTTATAGATATTAATAGAAGTGGATTATGTTTCTAAACCAGACATGTAATATTGCATATCACAAATAGCTAACTATATTGACCGGTACAAAATAAGTTGTGCAAACAGCTTACCAATCGGCCTTTATTTTAGCCAATATTTTGACAACAAACGAACAAACCTATTTGACACGACATACTCGTAACCTAACCTCAACTGTATTTGATACAAATGTGATACAGAGTAGCATTTAATTTATATTAAAATTAGTTTTTAATTAGTGAAACGTTTATAACAATGTGGATTCCGTCTATATCTTTTATTTTAATTAGCATATTTATTATATATATGATACATTCTATGTGGACATTAGCACAATTGTTTATTCCTTCAACATGTTCTGAAACGACAAAGTATTGTTTAACATCGTTTCTGAAACATGATCCTAAGTTACAATTGTTACTGTATACGTCAGTCAATTCGAAACCAACCCCATCCGATGTTAAATTAATACAGAGGCTGAATAAATTTGAATATTTAGAACCATTTGAAAAGTATGATATTAATCACTTTAGAGCTTAAATATACAATACTTTGTATAATTTTTTATATGTGTATTGAAATCGACAAAGGCAGTAAAATTTATTACTTCTCATTAGTTAGCGTTACAACAAATAAACAGTATTCATCTTATTTTATTCTTAAATTCATTGTACACTCTTCTGTTTTACCAGTTTATTTGTTAAACATGCTATGTATATATATTGAGCTCCCAGGGGCTCAAATGGTTCCAAATAGATAAAAAACAATTCTCTGAAAGTTTTACCTCTTAACATTAACGTTTAGATTGAGCGCAATTCAATCAAAGTTTTGTATGGAAATACCATGTAAAAATTTTCAAAAATTTAAAAAATGTTTTTTATATGTAATTTAGCAAACAAATGAATGAATAAAATTCATTCGTTTGTTGTCGCTAAGTTATACCTAAAACATTTTTTTAAATTTTCAAAATTGTTTCCATGCTCTTTCCATACAAACTTTGATTGAATTGCGCTCTATCTAAACGTTAATATTAAGAGCTAAAACTTTCAGAGAATTGTTTTTTATCAATTTGGAATCATTTGAGCCCCTGGGAGCAAGGAAATTCGAAAATGACCATTTTAAGGACCACCCTAATATATATATATACAGTGGCGTCGGAACCGTGTGGGCTGTGTGGGCTTGAGCCCACCCATGAATTTTGATGGGGGGGCTCAGCCCACCCATCAATCTCAAAAAATTATATGGGCTAATATCTCTAAAAAAAACAAGACCACTGGCTGCCTATCTAAAAAAAAAAAAAAAACGAGCCCACCCATCAAAAATTTGGTTCCGACGCCACTGTATATATATATATATATATATATATATATATATATATATATATATAAATGTAATATTAAATAGTAGTCTGCCTGAAGGCAGGTTCATGGTATAACAGCACCATAAGCCAATGATTTTTTTTCTCTCCCATTTTTATCATTCCAATTACCATTAATCACTTTTCATTAATTATTATGCATTTTCTTTTTCACATTTTCGCTTCCTTGCTTCCTGGTCCTGTGCTTCGACTTTTAGTTCCCTGTATTTTCTCTACTTGGTTAAGTTATCAACCGTCTGCATTCTACATATATACAGAGTGTCCAAGAACTCAACCTCAAGTCGTAATTGGGTGATAGTCTTGATTGCTTTTAAGTGCCTAAAGGTTAATTTTTTATTAATGTTCAAAGGCTTTAAAAACCAAACAATTTTAAATTCATAGTTTAAAAAACATGGGGCAATTGTGTCATTATTTTTGACTGCGGTTCTAGAAAAGTTATTTACGGTTACGAATACAAAATTTAAATGAACAAAATTAAGAAAAATTAACCACAATAATGAAATAATTATCACAAAAACGAAAGTTGTAGGTTTATTTAAAAGCTTATAAATTTTAAACTATAGATTTTTTTTTTTATTTTTATTCATGATATATATATATATATATATATATATATATATATATATATATATATATCTATATTTCCTTTTATCAAGTGTGTTTCATATATTTTTTCTGTTCAACATACTGATATGATGCTACACTTATTATTTTAGAACTATCAATTTGGATTTGCCCGAAAAAACTATTAACAATGGTTCTTTATTTATGCATATTATAATTGTAAATTCTGATGAATCATGGGAGTGGTCAAAAATGAATAAAAATGTTCATATTGTAGCAGAACGTATTAAACTTACGCAATATGCATTGCCACAAGCAGCATATTTTAATTTGCTATCAGATCAGGTAATTTGATTTTAAATTAATATGATGAATTAAGTGCCAAGTGAAATTTATTATTAATATTGAATAATATTTATAAATATTGAATAAACAAAGTCAGATAATTATGAAGACACCAAGGATTACGTGCAAAATATTAAACCAGTGACTCATTTAAAGTCTAGAATATCATTCACAATGTTAACTGATAAAATTGAAATAGCAGGCGAAGACATTCCATATGAACTAACTCGGCATTTGCGGTGTGTAAGATAACACTATTTTTTTTAAATTTATTGACATAAATAAAATTATAAGTAATACTATTAATATTATATATGTATATGTTTAATATATTTTTAGATTAAATTCGAAAAGGGAGTTTTTACCTATAGTGCAACATGATTTTTTACGTAGTCGTCTAAGAGATCTTGTTGAAGTATCTAAAGATATTAAAAAAACAAATTTTACTGTTTCTTATATACCAGTATCTATAGGCAGACTGAGATTATTATTACATGTAGAATCTAGTTTATTGTCCATGAAGAAACTGGGCTTTACAGATAAGGACATTGATGAAGTCAAGGGTATATTTGCAGACACAAATATTTATTTGCTTTGTGGCACAGTATTAATTGGAAGCTTACATGTATGTATTTATCAATGTGAATGAAAAAAAACAATCGTTAATAATTTCTAACATTTATAACCTAGTAGTAGTTTCCTATATTATATTCTAAATGTATCTATTTCAAATACTAATCAAATGTCTGGTTTTAAGTTTGTCACTTTTGATTTTCAGTTACTATTTGATTTCTTAGCATTTAAGAATGATGTGCTATTTTGGAGGAAAAAGAAGAATATGATTGGGTTATCAAGTCGTACTGTTTTATGGAGGACTTTCAGTCAAATTGTTGTATTTCTTTATTTATTAGATGAACATACTTCTTTATTGATTCTCATACCTCACGGAATTGGAACAATCATTGAGGTGATATAATAATTAGAATGTATTTGGTTATTACAAAAAATATTATAAGAAATGTTTTATACATTAATAATTGAATGCATGTATACAAAATTGTTTTCAGCTAATTTTAATTTAATTTTTATTTTATAATATCAATAAAATATCAATAAAAGCATACATAAAAATAAGTTAATATTTTTATGTATGCTTTTATTGATATTTCTGACAATGTTTTACTCATACTTAAAGTGTGCTATTTGTCAGCATTACTTACTTTTTATATCTTATAAATAAGTTATGATTTTTTATTATTAGCTCTGGAAGGCTAGAAAAGTACTTAAAGTCAAATTTAATACAAAAAATACTGATGTAGAAGAAAAGAGGACTGAAGATGTGGATGCTCAAGCAATGAAATATTTAAGCTATGTTTTGTATCCACTTTGCGTGTGTGGTGCAATTTATTCATTGATTTATCAACCTCATAAAAGGTGACATTTTATATCTAGACATAATAATCTTCTATAAATATAAAATATATATTACAGTTTGATTTAGTATAAGTAACTACATGTATTTTTCAACAATATTGCTTTTGAATTGGCCTATATTTGATTGATTTTATTGTTTAATTGGTATCTTAAGTTATTTTAGAACGATAGACAAATTGATTGCCATCTTCTTACAAACTTTGTATAATTTATCTATTTTTTTTTTTTTTTAATGCATTTTATAATATATAATATATAATTACAGTTGGTACTCATGGTGTGTACACAGTTTGGTAAACGGTGTATATGCATTTGGATTTTTATTCATGCTCCCGCAATTGTTTGTGAATTACAAATTGCAGTCTGTGGCAGCCTTACCATGGAGAGCGTTCATGTATAAGGCATTTAATACATTTATAGATGACGTGTTTGCCTTTATCATAACAATGCCTACAGCACACAGAGTAGCTTGTTTCAGGGATGATATTGTTTTCATAATCTATTTGTATCAAAGATGGTACGTGTATATCTTCAATTGCATATGTAATAATACAGTAGAATCTGCTTTTGTATGACATTAAAGGGACACTAAAAATTCGTCATAATATGTGGACGGTGTATAAAGTATTCTGAAAATTTTATGTAAATATATATGTTCAGTAGAAGTCTATTAATCCGGCACGCTCAGGACTAGCCTAAGTAATTCTAAAAACAATTAAGTTAATAATTTAACAACAAAAACAGTACAAAGCAAAACGGTAAAAAGCAGTCTTTAAGGGGGCAGTAGTCATGAGCACAAAAACCTTTGTTGCCTTCCCCCCCAGTTACAGTAGGTGTGAAATCATATTGATCATTAAAATGGACATATTTTTTGAAAGAATGGGTCGTTATAAGCAATGTGTATATGTAAAGGAGGTCATTATATCCAACTATTTGATATGGAATTTTATATGAAAACCAAATTTTGCAGTATGAATACGTCATAATTAGCGTTCGATTAATATATTCATCATCATACTAAGCCGATTCTACTGTATATCAATACAAAAACAATATATTATCTGAATTTCTTTATTAGGTTGTACCCTGTTGATGCTAGTAGATCTGATGATCCAGCAGCAGCTATTGAGGAAGAGGATGTGAAGAAAACAAATTAGTTAAATTATTGCTAATTTTGTTTGATATTTGTATCAAAATTTTTGCTGATTTTTTATAATAAATTGTTGAACAATTTTATGATTTTGTTGTACTTTTTTTATCGTTATGCAATTATTGTTATGCAATTATAGTATATAATACTATAATTCATTTCTATATTGTGTTCAAAAATTGATTGCAAATGGAATTAGCACAATTTATGTAGTATATAAGGATGCTGAATGAAAGATGAATTTCTTGTACAAATTCTCTCACAGCAGAAAATTGTTATGATTATTTTGTATATCTCTGAATTTTAAAGGGCTCCAGCTTGTGATGAGAAATCATGTAATCTGTAGTTTCATGCAGATTCTTTGTGGATGTTCCACTTCTTCAGACATTCCCAGAAACTGTCTATGGCAACGAATGGCGCCTGGTTAAGCCATAAGCCCCAGAGAAGCCTATGTATATATATATATATATATACATATATATATATATATATATATATATATATACTGTAATACTTCTCACAACAATGCTTTGTTCACCACTGATTTGGTTCAGGGCTCTCTTTTCCACTTTCTGCTCGTAATATGGATGGACTCAGAGAAATAATGAATTTACCTAAACAAAATGGCTTATATGAGGTAAATATGTAGTATGTTGCATATTAGTTCTTTAAGCAATTAGTCTTTGTATAAAAATGATTACCCTACGCAATTAACTCCGGAAGAATTCAACAAAAATATTGAAAATAGTGATTTCGACGAAGAACAAAAAAAACTTTCAACTGAGTTTCTCTACAATGATTGAAATTATGAACTAATTTGTTGAAAATAATTCAATTTTTGGCATGAGTTCGAAAGTAAGAGATGTTATTTGCTTCTTATCTACTTATCAACAACTGAATTATAATTTTATTTATTTTTAAAGTATACATATGCTTCCATTATTTTTTTTAACTGAAATTAATGTTTAGTTTTATTTTTATATACTTTCCATCTTTTCCTAATAATTAATTACTTGTTAAGATATCCTTGCTTATTAGCGCTCTGAATCAATCAATACAATATAATAATCAATTTAGTGTTTTTTTCTATAATAGTATTATCTACTAAAGAATAGTCAACTGGTACTCAAAATGTATGAAAGTATATTATAATTTTTTTTAAATAGAAATATAATCTGGTTTTCTTTCTATTATGTGGGCGGGTGCTTGTTAAAAAAACTTCTTACCAACTGAAAAAAATTATTACACACACACACACACACATATATATATATATATATATATATATATATATATTTGCCTTTGACAGAGTCAACTGGAGTAAACTTATGGGAACATTAAAATCTATTGGCATCGATTGGAAAGACCGCAGGCTGATCCAGAATCTGCATATAAATGTATATGGGACAGAAAGTTAGGATTTGAGTGAACCAGGGCAATACAAACAGCGTTGAAATAGGTAGAAGAGTTCGGTAAGGATGCTGCATGTCACCGAAACTATTCAACCTGCACGGAGGATATGGCTCGTCAACTTGAAGTCGCAGGAGATTTTTTGATCACAGGAAGAACCTAGTAGTAGTGCATGGCATCCCGCCTTAAGGCAAATTGCTGGAACTTTCCATACTAAAAATTAATTTTTTTAAAAAAGCTTTATTTTTTTAAAAAAACTTTGGAAAAATGAGATTTTTGAGAATTTTGTATTTTTTCAAAAGTTTAGACGTTTTTAAAATCAATTTTTTTGAACATTTTGAACTTTTTGTTTAAAGCAATAGTGCTGTGTGGCTTTTTAGAGAAGAAATATCGAAACGTGTAAGCGCTGTGTCCCAGACCAACGGATAAACATCGGTACGGAAACGCAAACAAAATTTATACTGACCGTAAATGTTTTTTATTTTTTTCTCTTTATTTCCGAAACCTCTAGACTTGCTTTCCCAAATATTCAATCTGTTCTTTATTTTATCAATACAAGTAAAATATTTTTGAATTATTAAAATCGTACGCTCTGTTCTTTCAAAAACTGAATTACCATTTTTGGCACTTTTTTCCCTGTATCTTCGAAACGGCTGCACCTGCCTTGGTCAAAAACTAACCAGCACGTCTCAATAGGAATAAAATGTTTTTTGATCCACACACACATTTTTTCTAATCGTAAGGTATGCCAAAATGTTCAGAAACCGTTGAAACGTAAAGGTATATAAAAAAATGCATTTTGAATTTTTCGCAATTACTCTATGGGAATTTAAAAATTATCACCATAAAGTATTCAGATGATGTCGTGATGATATCGAAAACGAAACCGAGCTACAAAGCATGATGAGCAGTATCTTTGGGTTGAATATACGGAATGGAGATCAACATCGACAAATAAAAAGTGATGACAATATCAAAACCAAATGAGATCCTGAGGATAATGGAAAGAAATCGAGAAATGGAAGAGGTGGATCATTTCAAATACTTGGTAAGCAACCTGACCAGAAACGGATACTGCACGAGAGAGGTCAGGGCACGTATAGCGAGCGCCAAGGCGGCATTCACGAAGAAGAGAACGCTTGAGCAAACTGACTCGACTTTCGAAAGTGGCCTATAAAGTGTTATGTTTAGAGCATAGTCCTGTACAGATCAGAGACATGGACTATGAGAGAGGCCGACAATAACTAACTAAGGAGATTTTTGAAATGTGGTGCCGGAGACGTATAGAGAAGATAAAATGGACAGGCAACATAACAAATGAAGAAGTCCTGAGAAGAGTAGGTGAAAAAAGGACTCTGCTTATAGCACGATCCTGAAAAGGAAAGGAAACTGGAACGGACCCATTCTTCAAAAAGAGTGCCTGCTACACGACGTAGTCGAAGGTAAAATAGAAGTTAAAGGAATGGAAAGAAGAAGTGCCCTTTTGAAGTTGCGTATATACTATAGTAGATTATATATCTATGCGAAATAATACATATCAAATATTATTAGTTATTTTTTCAATATAGTTCAAGAAATGTGAAATTTCTTTGCATTTTTTACTGATTTTTGGACAATACTTTAAAAATACGTTAAAAATTTAACTTTAAAACAACAGACTGATACTCTGAATATGACGGGAGAGCAAGGATGAATACAATTCGGCTCTTACGATATCATTCAGGAAAGGTTTACGACGCAATTTTGAATATTGTAAATAATGAAAAATTAAATCAAATTAAAATTTAAAAAATCCAACATGAAATACGAGTGTTATGAGTTTAAGTTTTTTTAAGTCCTCTTAGCATGATTTGCTCAATAGAATAATAAATGGCATAATAACTAAGTAAAATGTTTTAAAACCCAAATATTAATATTGCACATACGTTAAAAATAATTGAAAATTTAAAAATATTTGATTGTAATCAACCCCCGAATTCCTTCGATTTTCTAAATAAATTTAAAATTAATGTATTTTATACGCTTTTATATTATACCTAATTTTTTGCGTACTAAATCCAGAATAATTAAACATTAATTTTTAAAAAATATGTGAATATTTATATAATTTAAATTATAAAGTGTTAAAACATGTAAAATTAATGGGGGGAAGGGCGCCAAAAAAAAAGTTGCATGCGGGCGCTAAGGACCCCAGGACCGGCCCTGATATATATTCAATAATTACATTTTATAAAATTACCTAACATGCTTCATCAAAATGATCTATTGCAAGTTGAAAGGTTAATCTGTGATAATTTTCACGTAAATAATATTTTGTTTATGATTAATGTAAATGTAAAGGTTTCAGAGGTCACACTTGAAGATTTCGTCGGTCGGCTGAATGGGTTATAAGGGTACTAATACACATGATTAGAGGAGCCGGGGGACGTTTGTCTATGTCGATATTAATCGTAAAAATTGTCAAGTGCTGGTAAAAGTTACAAGGTAATAAGTTATTTAATTCTTAATTGAAAACTTTAGGAAATTTTAATGCTTTTCAATAACAATACTATCTATATTATGTTCTAATATACGGTCGGATCATTTGTAGTCAAACTACTTCTATATATCGTCTATAATAATCGTAAAAATTCTACTGAATACAAAACTAATTATACATCAACAGAAATAGATTATCTACATTGCCTAAATATAGTTCTCATACTAGTGACAGACTTAAAAGTTCATGCAATCCAATAGACAAAAAAAACTATTTTATCATTCAATAATCATCATCATTATTTTTTTTGAATATGTATTGAATTATATATTACTTATTCGGAAATATTAAAGAAAAATTTCTTTTCGACACTTTCGCAGAAAGTTTTTTTCTCGACCTATTAATTAATGATCAATGATTACATTTATATCTATTATGAATTTTATTATAGCTGTTCTTAATTAAAAAAATATTTTTTTGCTTGTTTTCTAAGTAAAAATTTAATATTTTTGCCCAAATATAGACAAAATTAAGCATAATGAAAAATTCGTAATTGTAAGATAATATTATATTGAAATTTGCAGCAAAACAACTTATTTTATAAAATAAGAATACTTGTTTTCAAGTATTTATTGTTCATTGTTATGTCTAAGTACTTATTGTATAGTTATTGCTTCAATGTTCAAGAAACATCAAGTGTATAAATATTCTTAAATACTTTGCTTTTGTTATATATGCGTGCCCCAATTAAAATATAAATACGCAAAAAGTTAAAATGAGTAATTATTTGCTGAAAAGATAAAAGTGAGAAAGCATGGTCACGGGCGAGACAAACTCGTGAAAATTTTGAAATATGTACTAAGTCTTATTAATTTTACAGAAAACTTGACCCAAACATTTATTTTAAGATCTCTTACATGATTGAAGGCAAATTGGCAAATTGCTGGAACTTGCCGCACCGAGTTCCAGCAAAGTTTTGAAAAATTTAGCCAGTTCTTCGTTTCGTCAATATAATGTTTTTTCAATCATTCAAATCCGACGTTCCATTATCTCAAAAACTGGATTAATATTTTTAGCATTTTTTGCTCCGTATCTTCAAAACGACTGGACCTGCTTTTGCCAAAATCTAATCAGTACGTCTCCCCATCAATACCTATGTTTTTTGAATTGTTCAAATCAATTGATCCGTGTTTCCGAAATCGTCGGCGAAAATTTGTATCTGCACACATACAAACATATACATCCATTTTTTCTAATAATAAGGCCAAAATGTTCGGAAACCTCTGAAACTATTGTCGGACCCGTTTTTGCGATTACTATAACTTGACCCACGGTAAGTAAATAATCATTATAATCAATTTCAACATAACAATAATTTAATGAAAAGGATATTTCATTGAAACGATCAAAATAACAAGGTGTAAGAACTGACAGATAAGCAGCCGGATAATTGATTTCATTCGTTTACTTTTTCGGGGATTGGAATCTAAGGCGGCAAAACTGATTTTGCAAATATATATATACATAATATACATACTCGTATATATATATATATATATATATTATATATATATATATATATATATATATATATATATATATATATCATCCAGTTATCTGTAAGCGTCCGATTTGAATTTTTAATAAACTTCAAAATGCTCTCGTTGCAGATATCGCATCAGTTCGTCAGTTCGAAAGTCGACGCTGCCATGGTCGGCTGTCGTCTAGCACGTGTGCCTTAATAACGCGCCGGTTAATATATCCTATCCATTTAATGACAAACTGTTATTTATTAACTAATGTGATTTATTAATGGTGATTTTAGAAAAAATATTATTGAACAATTTATATTGACTGTTATATTGAATAACTGTTACACGGAATGCAGATCGAAGTGGATATTATTACGTGGTTGTTGCAGCCGTTGACTATCATTGTTTGCGGACTGGTCGGTTACGTTTACTTATTTAGGGAGCAACGCGGACGAAAGAATGGACATTATACAAATCCAGGTAATCCATAATTTTACTTTTGAAATGCATGCAATTAATGATGTGTTTATTTTTATAATCCAAATGTGTAAATCGGTAAAATGTTATCATCTCGTGAATCTTGAATAGTCAGTAAGGGTTGAAGATTCTTTTTGAAACTGCTATAAGGAAATAGATGCGCGATAATCTAAATGTACTAACTTCAATGTCCCAAAATTTTGGTCATTATTATTCTTTTCCTTGAACAATAAATATAAGGATTGAAGCTTTTTCTTGGGCTTAATCAGTAGTAAAAAAGTATTATGACAATTCATTAAAAATTGCTTCCACATAATAAAACTATTAACAATGCTATTATTGTTATCAATCATTTTATAAAATTGCATATTCATTCTACTAATTTTATTACACGTGCAACTATTTATTTTATTACATTGATTTCATACAATATTAGCTAACGTTTTCGAGTTTTATTTTGACTGCTCATCATCGTAGGTTCACGGCCGGGGTCAACTCTGGGATATTGTTCGATGTCATAAAATGATAGAAAATTTTGGTTTCTTTAGAATATTATTAAAAAAAACAAATGACTCTTTGCTAAAATACTCGCTATTTATAACATCGTGATTACATCGCAGTTTAATTTATAATTTTATACTGATATAAAATATAAATAATAATAAGTTTTTTTTGATAATTAATAAGTTCTTGCCTGTCATAGTAATAAAATAGCAAAATTTATTCGTAGAAATATCACCTAATAATTTGTCTTGATTTTTATTATAAATAATGGTTATTATATTATTTGTGTATTTATCATCATATTATAAGAGCTTTTATGAAGTCTTTTACACATCGTATTTAAATACATAATTGTCATTGAAAGCTCTTTTATTGTACTTTAATTTCATTTAACATTTTGAATATGATGGGCTCATGTTTAATAAATTGACAATTCAATGTATGCAGTTTAATATCCAATGTTTAATAATATTCATATAAAACAAAAATAAAATAAAGAAGAATAAAATTTAATCAGTATGAATGATCTAATAGAGTTAGATAATAAAATCAATTTTTGCCAACTGAAATATAATTTTTGTGTAATAATATAATTATTTTATCGCAATAAAACTTCAGGCATGTTTTAAAACTTCAGTTTTCGAAGATTTATTATTTTAATTTAAAAAATGCTACTCTAATAACAAATATATAATTAGCTGTATTTTAATATAAAGTACACTTTCTAAATAGTTTATGCTTTAACGGGCTCTTTTCTAACTAGATACTGTACACAAATTGTTACTAATTTTATATATATTTTGGACTAAAATGATCAGTTACATTAAATTTGTTCTTTAATTAGAATATTCATTTTTTGTATATGAATATAATTTAAATATAATTTTCTTTGCTCCTATATATATATGTTAAGCCACTCAATTTTAAGTCATTTTGATATATATCTAGAAAGCAGAAAATTTGCAAGAAAAATATTTATTTAAATAGCTTCATTTACTACACTTTAAGATTTAAAATTAAGTAAATAAAAAACGATAGGTTTAGTATGGAATTCTAAACATACATTTGTGAAAAATGAATATAAACCATTAAATAATAATCGCTATTATAATATTTTACAAATGTGTTCCATTGGTTGAAAATAGAATCGAAAATATTTACATTTCAATTTACAACCGTTTTAATCAAAACATTGAATTCGTGTCGAATCAATCGCACAGCACAGATGCGCGATTCCAATATCAGTGTCTCGTGCTATCTGAAAATAATGAATATATTTTTAAATTGATTAATTAATATATTCTCAGATACCTTATCACCTTAAAATGTATGTAAAATGAAGCTGACTTTCGCCGATAGTATTGCGTAGGTTAATGAATGTTTTAAAATGATATAATACTTGGATAATGACATCAGAATATTTCATTTCATCAGTTATTGGTTTCAGTGGTTTTTATATTATAATTAATCCGGATGTTCTGATTGTTCTGTATTGAAATATGCTAATATTTAAAATATTTTTTATAACATAATAAGCATTAATTCGTTTAAAATTATTCAAATTTTTGGAAAACATTCATCGCTCTTTGGATTTCCAAATATTTATACACTAGTACGACAACGCAAATTGTTTAATATAAACAAATTTTTAATGTTACGATTTTTATAATAATATTTTACAATCTGATCATTAGGCTATTTTGAATAATATTATACTTTCACAAACGTAATCAATTAAAATAGTTCACAAATAGTTTTAACTTCCCGTTTTCATAAAAAAATCCGATTCGCCAATTTTATATTTTCTGGACGTTTCAAGCCATTCTGAATCGAATGAGTCCAAATTTTGAATAAGTATGTGTGTGTGTGCATGTGATTTTTTGTCTTTTATTTTGGGTTAAATTCATGATGTTACATACTCACATACATATATCTATAATTATGTTTCTCACGAAATTAACCCTAATTATAAGTTCAGCTGACTTTCGCCGATAGTATTGCGTAGGTTAATGAATGTTTTAAAATGATATAATACTTGGATAATGACATCAGAATATTTCATTTCATTAGTTATTGGTTTCAGTGGTTTTTATATTACAATTAATCCGGATGTTCTGATTGTTCTGTATTGAAATATGCTAAATATTTTAAAATATTTTTTATAACATAATAAGCATCAACTCGTTTAAAAATTTATTCAACATTTTGGAAAACATTTCATCGCTCTTTGGATTTCCAAATTTTATACACTAGTAAGACAACGCAAATTGTTTATATAAAAACAAATTTTTAATGTTACGATTTTTATAATAATATTTTACAATCTGATCATTAGGCTATTTTGTATAATTATTATACAGTCACAAACGTAATCAATTAAAATAGTTCACAATAGTTTTAACTCCCCGTTTTCATAAAAAAATTCGATTCGCCATTTTAATATTTTCTCGACGTTTCAAGCCATTCTGAATCGAATGAGTCCAATTTTGAATAAGTATGTGTAACAGATTTTTGTCTTTTATTTTGGGTTAAATTCATGATGTTACATACTCACATACACATATCTATAATTATGTTTCTCACGAAATTAACCCTAATTATAAGTTTACAATATATATATTCTTTTTAACCTTTCTCTAAACTGAATTGAAATATTAAGCAAGCGAGCAATTTCTTTGAATTATGACCAACTTTTGTTCACGCGAATTGCTTCGTATTTTTATGGGCAATTCTGCCGTAAACTAGACCTATGTCAAGAAAAGGCTATGTTACGCTGCGTTTTTCATATAAAATGGTACTGAAACCTGTCAACATGCTATGTGGTTGCTGTGCAGTTAGACGTTTCAGATATAAAGCCTAAGAAAACGCACAAACGTCAAAAAAGCATCCGATTTGAATTATTAAAAAAACATTCGATTCATATTCATAAGCAGATGTGCTGATTGGTTTTTGGCATCAGTTGGTTCAGCTGTTTCGATGATACGAGGCAAAAAGTGCAGAAAATGAGAATTAAGTTTGTGAGAGAACAAAGCATTCGATTTGAATGATTTGAAAAACATTCCACTTGTATTGACATATTGAAATTGATTGAATTTTTGCAATGACAGGTCCAGCGGTTTCAGTGATCTAGAAAAAAAGTTTAAACAATTGCCATTTTGCGGTCGAAAATCAGATATTTGGACAGTCTGGATCAACCGACAAAATGGGTATCAAAACTTTCAAGAATTGTTCGTTGATATTTTTACAACTTTAAATACGCTATATTTAAATCAAATATGTTTTTATTCAATTTCGATTAATTACTTCATTAAGCGTTACATATAATAAGCATATATATATATACATATATTTAAAATGTACTAATTATCAATTATTTTACAATTCTGATTACGTGCGACTACTTTTGGTGAAATTTGTCAACACACTTTTTATATTTTATAATATATATTAATAAAATAATAAAATTTGAATATATATATATATATATATATATATTTATTTATAATATATATTAGAATACTTTTTTTTGTGGAGAATTCGCGATTATAATTGACAGTTGGCTTCTGATGCGGGAAGTCCAGCCGTTTTGTAGATACGATAAAAAAAGATCAAAAAACGTTGATTTTAATAAAAATAAAATATTACATAATAGAGTTTTTAATATCATATAAACATATTGACTAAATTTTGGTTTTCGTCCCAAAATAATAATTCTCGAAATTTATAATTCTAAACATAAACTTTTTTTAAATAGTATTTTTTTTACAATTTCAAACGTCAAACTAATTTTTTAAAAATGTACCATTTAATTTATCACAATCACAAAAACAACTCATTAGTTAAAACATATATAATACGAAGAGCTTTATATTTTTCTAGTACTACCTAATCTAATCGATGTTCTATAACACATCTAGAAAATCCAAAAAGTCAATAAAAATTAACTATTACACATGCCTTTTGTACAAAAAACTACATTATGCACGACTTGCTTGTGTTAGGATAAACTGTTTAAAAATCATTATAATTATTTTTTCACAAATTGGTACCTACGTTAAATGTTTATTTACATTATTGTACTACATTATAATGCAATTCACATTTATTTTGAACTTCCCGTAGGGTAAGTTATTGTAATCGTCCAAAAATCGAAATTTTTTGCATATGTTCACGTTTTGAAGGTTTCTGAAGATTTTGAATGTGTATGTGAGTATGTGTTTATGGATACAATTTTTTGTCCACATTTTCGGGCGCACTGATCAAACCGATTTGCATGGTTTAAAAAATTCGATTTTTATTGATAGGGGATGTGCTGATTAGTTTTTGGCAAAAGGTCCAGCTGTTTTGTAGTCAAGGAACAAAGAATGCAGAAAATAGAAATAGAGTTTTTGAGAGAACGGAGCATCCGATTTGAATGATCGAAAAAACATTGAATTCGTAATTGATGTGATTACAAATTGGTGATTAGTTTTTGGCAAAGGCAAGTCCAGCCGTTTCGG